TGAATGTGTTTTATGAATCACTGTCCATTAGAGAATCAATGGTACTCAAGGATAAAGATTTAATTAGAGAGGTCAACGGATTTTACCTAGCTCTAATTATGAATTATTTATGGAGGATTGATCTATATGCAATGACTATATCAAATGGACACTTCACAGTTTAGAAGTAATTTATATCTATAATTTTGAGAGTGCAATTCCAAGTTTATAGTGGAGTAACTATTGGAATTAATGGAATTAATTAATTAATTAAAGGATTTAATTAATTATTAATTTTATTGGAGCTCATGATTATAGGTCCATTAGTCCCCGCGTCGTCCTTGTAATTCTACTAGACACAAAGGGCAAATTGAGAATTTTAGAATTGCAGAATTCTAAAATTAAACACTCGGAAATAATTAATTGAGAATTAATTATTATTTAAATAATGCGATTATTTAAATTTGAATTTGAACACATCTAGATTTATCCATTTAAATTTATTTGATAAGTTGTTCAATTTAGAATTCAAATTAATTTAAGTGTGACTTAAATTGAAATTTGAATTTGAGTCAAAATTGACTGCAGGATAAAGGATAATTTTCTCTTTCTTCCCTATCTATTTTTGGCGCAACACAGGGATAATATCCTCTACACTTGGCTGGCCATAATGGATAAAAATAGAAGAGGATATTTTGTTCCAAATTCAAATAGGAGATAATTAACGAGCTCTATCTTAGAGATAGAGATTGGATTCCTTCTAGAAGTTTGACTTCTACTCTATAAATAAGAGAATGATAGAAAATTGTGGACACAATTTTTGAAAATAATTTTTGACCTAATTTTTAAAGGGTGGCCGAAATTCTCTTATTGTGGGAAAAATTTTTCTCTAAAAAATTTCACATCGTGCATGCGTTGGTATTTATGGAAATTCGAGTGTTTATTCTAAACCCGTTTTATCTCAGGTGTGCCCACACACACGTCTTCGTGGATTCTAAGAATTGACGTGGAAGACATTAGTTTTCTAAACACAAGGCTTTGGAGCAAGGATTGTTCGAGGTCAAAGAACTCAAGTTATCATCCTAATCGGCCGCCAGGTATTATTCCTAATTGAGTTCTTAATAAATAAATTAATGTGATTAATTTATTAGTGCATAAATTAATATAATCTATAGAGTATCTCAAAAGTTTTATGAAAATTTTGTTATACTTGATCCGCTATCCCCACGCTTTCGCATCCGAATTCGATTTGGTAACCAACACATGTTGGTAAGGATAGGGAAAACTTTGAAAGGATCCATGGTGGTTTTGGTTTTGGAGCTCGAAACGAAGAAGGAAAATCTATTTTGGAATTTGCGTTGGGACATGATTTTATCATAACAAACACATTTTTCAAGAAAAGAGATTCTCACTTGATAACTTTTAAGAATGGAAGGAACTTAAGTCAGATAGATTATTTTCTCACCAGGTATAGAGAATGTTCTCTATGTAAGAATTGTAAAGTAATTCCTGGAGAAGTACTAGCCACCCAACATATGTTAGTGATCTTAGATGTGAGCATTAAGCTTTGCTATAAAAGGATTAAGATAAACCACCTCCCATGAACTCGTTGGTGGCATTTGAAGGGAATAAAGCAATTGGCCTTTAAAGAGAAGTTGTTAGATGAGGCTACTTAGTCATATGTAAGTGATGTAAATACTATGTGGGATGCCATGGCCAGCTGCATCAGAAAAGTGACAAATGAGGTACTAGGGGAATCTAGAGGTAAAGGCCCCCCTGGGAAAGAAACCTGGTGGTGGAGTGAGGAAGTTCAAAAGGCTATTAGGACCAAGAGAGATTTATATAGAGATTTACCAAAGCGTAAGGATGTTGAAAACTTTAATAAGTACAAAGAAGCGAAGAAAAAAGCTAAGCGAGCAGTTGGCAAGACTCGTTCTACTTACTTAGATGAGGTATATAGGAAACTTGGGACTAGAGGAGGAGAGAAGGATATATATAAATTAGCTAAGATAAGAGAAAGGAAGTGTCAGGACCTAAATCAAGTGAGGTGTGTTAAGGATGATACGGATCAAGTTCTGACAAGAGATGAAGACATTAGGGAAAGGTGGAGTTACTTGAAGAAGCTTTATAATGATGATCATGCGATAGAGTTTGGCAATCTTAGGTCACAAGGAGAACCTAATGTGATGTATATAAAAGGAATCAGAGTCTCGGAAGTTAAAACTGCACTATGAAAGATGAAAAAGGGGAAGGCATATGGGCCAAATGATATTCCAATAGAGGTTTGGATGGCGTTAGGAGATGTTAGAATTGTGTGGCTCACTAAGCTTTTTAATGAGATACTAAAGAAGAAACATATGCCTGATGCATGGAGGAAAAGTATTCTTGTCCCCATTTTCAAGAATAAAAGAGATGTGATGAATTGTAACAATTATAGGGGCATAAAGTTAATAAGCCACACTATGAAACTTTGGGAAAGAGTTATCGAAAAGAGATTAAGGGCCATAACTACCATCTCAGGTAACCAATTTGGCTTCATGCCAGGCAGATCAACCACATAAGCCATTTTTCTTCTTAGGATGCTGATGGAAATGTACAGAGAAGCCAGGATAGACCTACATATGGTCTTTATAGATTTAAAAAATGCATGTGATAAGGTGCAGATGGAAGTTTTATGGTGGGTGCTAGAAAGAGAGGAGTGCATGTGAGGTATATTAAGATAATTAAAGACATGTACGATGGGTGGCACAAGTGTAAGGACTGCTGGAGGCTACACGACAGAGTTCCCCATTCAGATCGGCCTTCATCAAGAATCTGCTCTTAGTCCTTATCTTTTCACCATGGTGATGGATGAGCTGACAAGAGAAATCCAAGATAGAGTTCCTTGGTGTATGCTTTTTGCAGATGATATAGTTTTAGTTGATGAACATAGGGAAGGAGTTAACCGTAAGTTAGGGATTTAAGTTGAGTAGGACTAAAATTGAATACATGCACTGTAGGTTTAGTAACTCAAGTAATCAGAGTGATGAAATTTCTTTAGATAGTGTGGAGATTGGGACTTATAAGAAGTTTAGGTACCTTGGGTCAATAATGTAGTACGAAAGAGATATAGAAGATGATATTCAACATAGGATTAAGGCATGGTGGGTTAAGCGGAAGAATGCTACGAGAGTTTTATGTGACGGCAAGATGCCTATTAAGTTGAAAGAAAAGTTCTATAGGACTGCAATCTGCCCAGTTATGTTATATGGTAGTGAATGTTGGGCCATTAAGAGACAACATTTATCTAAGATGAGTGTGACAGAAATGCGTATATTAAGATGGATAAGTGGCCATACGAGAATGGATCGCATAAGGAATGAAGTTAATTGTAGTAAAGTAGGTGTAGCACCAATAGAAGATAAGGTGCGCGAAGGCCGCTTGAGGTGGTTCGGGCATGTCCAACGTAGACCGCTAGAAGTACCAATCCGTGTTTGGGAGGACATTCTTATACCAAATACTAGGAGAGGGAGGGGTAGACTAAGAATTACGTGGACTGAAGTTGTTAGGAAAAACATTCTAGATCTAGGCCTTCAGGAAAGTATAATTTCGAACAGAGCCGTGTGAAAATGTGAAATCCATATAGCCCACCCCAATTAAGTTGGGATTAAGGCTTGTTGTTGTTGCATCTTTCTCTCTCCCATTCTTCTCAAACTGCAGCATTGACTGCCGGGATCTTCGTCGTCATTGTGCTTCATCACAGGCAGTCCTTCCCTCCCCAAGCGAAGTTGGCGACAAATCAGCCTCCATCCATGCGCGCCATCGTAGTCCTAGTTTCATCATCATGGCAAGATTTGCCTTTCTTCCATCGTGATGCTGCCACCAATCGTGACCGAAAAGAATGAAGGCCAACTGCCAACAGGTGTTGCTATAGCGAGCAGTCCTTGCCACCGCTGGTAGAGCTCCAGCATCTATATAGGAGAACTAGCTAGTATACATTTAACTAGATATAAGCAAAACTATCCGGTAGAATATAACTCCAGGATAGCAGCAGGCATGAACATTTATAATTTTATAAATCTTATCAAAGAATTAGTGTTAGCCAGTTTTGGAGAAAATGATAATTTCTTATCCTGGGGTGTATATATGACTTCTCCTGTTCTTATTATTAGGCCTGAATTTATAATCTTGATTTCTGCTGGCTCTTCGTTTCTATCTATTGTATAGATCCTGGGGTGTATATATGACCTCATTGAAAAATGTAGACTCAACATCATTTCGATCCCGAAATTTAACTTTGGTGTTCGGAAACCTTATCCCAACCCTTAATATTTGTAAAATATTTTATTTATTTTATAAAATTAAATTGCATAATACCATCTAATATATAGATTTTTATCTGTATTAGATATCACTCTATGTATTGTATTAAATTTGAATATTGTATTAAACTGTACAATGTATGAAATGTTACAAAAATATTGTATTATTCTTAAATAATACGATACGGTGTGTTTATACGGCATACCAAACATGCATTTATTGGGTTATTTCCTAATATATGGGTTCTCTAGCTATATCTATTAGCTTATCGAACTCTATTTTTTGTTTTACTGGTCTTTGTATTTGGCGGATAAATTCTGTTTGGGGAATATCAAGTCTGTCCATTTCTGGTGCCAATATACTTCCTCCTTCTGACTCTAAACTATTACTATTATTATCTGAAGGTCCACCAGGCTTCGTATGCGTATGCTCTGATATGTTTTGTACTAGCAAGGGTTTAGGTTAAGTTTTTTAAGGGATGACGATGTTTTAGAAAGTAATAGCAACATTAAAATGAGGGCAAAATTGTCTTTTCCTTGTGTGGAAATGGTTTGACCTAATTACGTAAAAGAAAAATGGTAGATAAATGGCTTATTAAAGTGGTGTTGGATCTAATTAACTCTTAAAAAAAAAGTCTTTCAGAGAAAACTAAAATAGAATTACAAGAATTGAGCTCATTCCCAAAAGTAATAATAATAACAATAATAAAATCATATGTATGACACAAAAAGATTTAAATTTTCTCTCCGTGTGCCTATAAATATAAATTCACAAATTTTTCTTTTGGCAACCAAATCACCAAGTACATATCATATATAAATCAGGTACATCCATGTTTCAATTTTGGGTATTCATTGATTTAAATTGAGAGTGTTGCGAAAAGATTCGAGTAATTAAGCAAGAGAAGTTGAAAACTAGATTGTTGTAAGTATTATTGCCTCAAATTAAGCGAATCTCCTACATGTAAATCAAAATAAATGCAAGTTCATTTTATTTTTTCATCATTTATACTTGTCATAATTTGACTTTATTAGTCGGGAAAAAAAATAACAAACTCTACGAATAAACCATTAACAACTGAAAATATTTGGTGGATAATTCGCTATTTTCTAGCTAACATTTACAGTACTCATTGTTGTGTGGGAAAATATGCGCTGCCACGTCAGAGACGGCCGACCCTTCCAAGGAGGAGAGGCATCCAGACGGCCGACCCTTCCAAAGAGGAGAGGCCTCCAGACGGCCGACCCGTCCAAGGAGGAGATGCCTCCATAAAAAAGGTTCTTAAACTTGCCAAGAGCCCCAATGGACATCCATGAGGCCGCCCCCTCCAAGGAGGAGAGGCCTCCATGAAAAAGGTTCTTAAACTAGTATCCATGAGGCCGACCCCTCCAAGGAGGAGAGGCCTCCATGAAGAAGGTTCTTAAACCTGCCAAAAGCCTCAAGGGGCATCCATGAGGCCGACCCCTCCAAGGAGGAGAGGCCTCCATGAAGAAGGTTCTTAAACCTGCCAAAAGCCTCAAGGGGCATCCATGAGGCCGACCCCTCCAAGGAGGAGAGGCCTCCATGAAGAAGGTTCTTAAACCTGCCAAAAGCCTCAAGGGGCATCCATGAGGCCGACCCCTCCAAGGAGGAGAGGCCTCCATGAAGAAGGTTCTTAAACCTGCCAAAAGCCTCAAGGGGCATCCATGAGGCCGACCCCTCCAAGGAGGAGGGACCTCCATAAAGAAGGTTCTTAAACCTGCCAAGAGCCCCAAGGGGCATCCATGAGGCCACACCCTCCAAGGAGGAGAGGCCTCCATGAAGAAGGTTCTTAAACCTGCATCCATGAGGCCGATCCCTCCAAGGAGGAGAGGCCTCCATGAAGACGGTTCTTAAACCTGCCAAGAGCCCCAAAGGGTATCCATGAGGCCGACCCCTCCAAGGAGGAGATGCCTCCATGATGAAGAATGTTCATAAACCTGCCAAGAGCCTCAAGGGGCATCCACGAGGCCGACCCCTCCAAGGAGGAGAGGCCTCCATGAATAAGGTTCTTAAATTTGCCAAGAGCCCCAAGGGGCATACATGAGGCCGACCTTTCTAAGGAGGAGAGGCATCCAGACGGCCGACCCTTCCAAGGAAGAGAGGCCTCCAGACGGCCGACCTTTTCAAGGAGGAGAGGCCTCCAGACGACCGACCCTTCCAAGGAGGAGAGGCCTCATAGGAAGCCGACCGTGTGAACATGGGTCCACATCTCCAGAAAGGCCCATGAGTGGACAAATGAGTTATGTCTGGGTTTGAAAAATGTCAGTAATGCAGGCATTAATTACAAGCCCATAAACCACCCTTTAATGGACAGTGGATGATTAAAGGGGGATGTCACAATAAGGGACAAATTGGATGAGTGAAGAGTGAAAAAGGTGGTGACATGCTATGGGTCTGGGCTCATAGGCTAGTAGGCCACTCAAGTGGATGAGCCTACTATGAAAAACCACCCATGAAGTAATCGCTAGGCTATAAAAGGGGCAAGGCCCCGAATGAAAGAGGAGAGGATTTTTGGCTATTTTTCATATGTAATCAGAGAATAGAGAGCTGATTCTATGTAATCCAAAAAGAGCCCAAAGGAAATACAATACACAAGTGGATGTAGCTCTTCATTAACAGAGTGAACCACTATAAATTTCGGGTGTCCTCTCATTCAAGCATTATTCTCATGCTTCAAAAAATATAACAAACACTTCATAGCATAATTTCAAATATGCAGCTAATTTCTAGCCGGTAACCCCACGGGATACCAGAGGGTGATCCGACGTATTTCTGTTGATAAAATTTCACCGTCAACAATTGGCGACTCCACTGGGGATCGAACCCAGAATCTCTAGTTCATACGTTTGACCCCCGACAACAAAGAAGTAGTCAGCAACCATGCCTCTAAGAAAAAGAGATGTTGCCATCAATCAAGGCAGCCAGATGGAGGAAACCACCACACATCCAGCGAATGACGGGAGTGGCAAAAATCAACCCCCGATAAGAAACGAAGATCCACCCCCAGGGGTTCCACAGCTTGACCCAGTGCAGATGCAGGCCCAGCTCAACACTTTGACCGACTTAGTGCGGGGACTAAAGACCGTGGTCGAGCGATTAGATGGGAGAAACTCGATGCCGCCTCTGGAAGACGCCCCGAGACCACTAGGAGCTGCCGTGGCTGGAAATCAAAATCCTGGTGACCGTCAGGATGCCCCAGAAGGAATCAGGGAGAGTAAAAATAGAGGCAATCCGAGGGCTCGACCGCCTCAATCTCTCGGCAGCCGTCAAAGAGCCACTAGGCGCCGAGCCCGGGAAAACAAAGCAAAAAGAGGCAAGTCGAACCTCGAAACGCCACCACAGAACCCAGGTAGAAATATCCCTGGAGATTCGGGGTCGGTGCAAGAGGGTGGAGATTCAAAGGGCATCCGAACAGCCAACTCCTTTAAGGAGGATTCAACCAAAGATTCATTATAGTAGCAAATAAATTGGCAGGCAAAAAGAGGCGCTAAAGAAAAATCCCAACCTAACTCGAGGCAGTCCAAAGGAAAGCCTCGACCTGGGGGGCAGATGTTATGTGGGAAAATATGTCAGAGACGACCGACCTTTCTAAGGAGGAGAGGCATCTAGACGACCGACCCTTCTAAGGAGGAGAGGCCTCCACACGGACGACCCTTCCAAGGAGGAGAGGCCTCCAGACGGCCGACCCGTCCAAGGAGGAGATGCCTCCATAAAAAAGGTTCTTAAACCTGCCAAGAGCCCTAATAGGCATCCATGAGGCCGCCCCCTCCAAGGAGGAGAGGCCTCCATGAAAAAGGTTCTTAAACTAGTATCCATGAGGCCGACCCCTCCAAGGAGGAGAGGTCTCCATGAATAAGATTCTAAAACCTGCCAAGAGCCCCAAGGGGCATCCATGAGGCCGACCACTCCAAGGAGAAGAGGCCTCCATGAAGAAGGTTCTTAAACCTGCCAAGAGCTCTAAGGGGCATCCATGAGGCTGCCCCCTCTAAGGAGCAGAGGCATCCATGAAGAAGGTTCTTAAACCTATATCCATGAGGCCGACCCCTCCAAGGAGGAGAGGCTTACATGAAGAAGGTTCTTAAACCTGTCAAGAGCCCCAAGGGGCATCCATGAGGCCGACCCCTCCAAGGAGGAGAGGACTCCATGAAGAAGGTTCTTAAACCTGCCAAAAGCCCCAAGGGGCATCCATGAGGCCGACCCCTCCAATGAGGAGAGACCTCCATAAATAAGGTTCTTAAACCTGCCAAGAGCCCTAAGGGGCATCCATGAGGCCGCCCCCTCCAAGGAGGAGAGGCCTCCATGAAGAAGGTTCTTAAACCTGCATCCATGAGGCCGATCCCTCCAAGGAGGAGAGGCCTACATGAATAAGGTTCTTCAACCTGCCAATATCCCCAAGAGGCATCCATGAGGTCTCCCCCTCCAAGGAAGAGAGGCCTCTATGAAGAAGGTTCTTAAACCTGCATCTATGAGGTTGATCCCTCCAAGGAGGAGAGGCCTCCATGAAGAAGGTTCTTAAACCTGCCAAGAGCCCCAAGGGGCATCCATGAGGCCAACCCCTCCAAGGAGGAGATGTCTCCATGAAAAATGTTCTTAAACCTGCCAAGAGCCTCAAAGGGCATCCACGAGGCCGACCCTTTCAAGGAGGAATGGAAATAGGTGCCGTTCCCGGAACCAAATCAATACAGAATTCAATCTCCCGATCTGGCGGTAAACCAGGTAACTCATCATGAAATATATCTGTAAACTCATCCACTACAGGGATTCCCGCACTATCTCCAGTTATCTCGGGTTCACCTTCTAGAGCAAGAAGAGAAGAAAAACATGCCAAGTTCCTCCGTCCTCCAACGCTGTACTTCAACAGTCGTTCCTCCAGGACTGGGTTCATATCCGCCTGATAAGAAATCACTGTTCCAGACTTAGTCATCAGAGTCACTCTCCTACGGTAACAATCAACAATTGCTCCGTATTCTGACAACCAATCCATTCCAAGGACCACATCAAACAGGCTCATCGGAAGGATGATCAAATCTGCTCTCACTCGCTCACCGCCAATCGTGATTTCACACGATTTACACACACTCAACACCTCCACACATCCCAGTGGGGAGTTCAAAGTCATCGGGACTTCTAAATTCTCACATATAAGTTTCAATGCCCGATCAAAAGATCTTGATATAAACGAGTGTGTGGCACCTGTGTCAAACAACACGTGAGCAAAAGAATGAGAGATTATAATCATACCCTCAACCACCGCGTTGCTGGTCTGACCTTCCGAACTGCCTCCTGCCAGGGCATAAGCTTGTCCCTGTACTTTCCCTTTCCTTCTGTCACCCACATTAGGCCGTTGGGTCGGAGGCCTATATTGTTGTGGTGGAGGTGGTTGCACCGGTCTCGGCGCTTGAGGCCGGAATTGTGTATACGGAGGTGGTTGATAAGTCGACACAGAAGGGTATGGCATCTGTTGTGGCTGATATGGTGGCATGTACTGTGGTGACCCTTCTTGACTGTAGGAAGCGTCACTTTGGGCTTATTGAGCTGGCGGCCAATTAGGACAATTCCTCCTAATATGACCCACCTGCCCACAATGGTGACACCTGGGCCCGTATGAAGCACTTCTGTCACTTCCTGACGAACTACTGCCACCGCTAACCACTCCTCCACTAGGCTGTCCCTGGTTGCGGTTCCTTCTACCACTCCGCTGTGGCCCGCTAGAAACAGATGGTCCCCCAGAAATTGAAACTCTTCCAGCTTGTTCTTTACTCTGGTGATAAGCTATGTTATCCTGCTCCACCCTAGTAGTAGCAGCCACCAAATCTCAAAAATTTCAGATTCTCAAAGCCACCAATGGTCTCCTCACAGAGTTCTTGAGGCTATTCTCAAACTTAAGACATCTAAGGTGTTTAGATTCCACCAAAGATGGCACGAATCGGGACAGGTCATTAAACTTGGCCTTATACTCCCTTACAGACATGTCACCTTGCAACAGAGACATGAATTCCAGCGCTTTTTCCTTTCTATAACTCTGAGGGAAGTACTGCTCATTGAATAGTGTGTCAAATTGCTCCCAGGTCAGTCATGTGACATCTATTCTTCTCTTGACCTGTTTCCACCAAGTATTTGCTAAGCCCTCCATCTTGTATACCGCAAATTTCACCCAGTATTCATCTGGAACTCCCATAGTACTCAAATGCTTGACTATGGAGTCTAACCAGAACTCTGCCTCTTAGGGTCCTCCCTCACTATTAAACGAGGGGATAGGCGCACGCCTAAACTCTCGGAAGTACCCTTGCTTCCTATCCTCAACCGGCAGCTCGGTTTGAGCTCTTGTGGCCATGCCTTGAAAGGCAGCATACATGGCATCCAGAAATCCCTAATTCTGTTGTGCCGGTGGATTAGCGGGCCTACGGCGAGGCGCCATTTCCTTTAATTGAAATAAAACTAGACTATTCAATGGATCACAGATGTCACACATGTATGTACAATCCTGGGATTTCTTAACCTAAGGCTCTGATACCATTCTTGTCACGCCCCCCAAGCGGGGTGGGTGACGTGGAGCTCGATTAGGGGTTAATAAAGAAGATTCCCAGACGAGCCCCACTCGACTGAGTTAAAATATAAATACATTACTACAGAATCACGAAGCCTCTGCCACACAGGGCCCCACCCTACAGGACATACAGTATCGTACATACATGCTAATGTAAATAATTATTACAACAGACATTAACCACAGTCTAGTAAATCCAAATATTACATAAGTTTACAGAATTCTCAAATTCTTTACATTTATTCAAGAGGATGAACTCAATCCTCTCTTGATCCAACAGTAGCAATCTTCCGCTACCCCGCACCGCTCCTAGAGTCTCCTGGGAGGGGTTTAATACATTTGAAACATAAAACGTGAGTGAAATGCCCAGTAGGATATAATTTGCAAGGATGTAAAATAAATAAATAGATAAAGTGCAAGTAAATGAATAAATGGGTATGTAAATAAATAGACTTTCAGTTTCAACAGACAGCCAGAACCTCACATCATTTTTCTCAAAGAAAATAAATGTAAAATCTCCATATTACAGGCTTCAGCAAGTAATTAGTACAAATTACTTACCTAACCAAGTGCCTCGCCTACCCGGACCGAGTTTCGGGTTCTGCCCCCGAGGATGCACTCTCCGCACCCTATCTAGGCTTACAGCAATAGACTCTATTACCAGTTCACAAGATCTCTTTGCTTAAGAAATCATTCATTAACTTTTCTGAAATCGTTTTTATGACCCCACGAACTACTCAAGC